AGTGAGCAGCTGTAGTCCCAGCTACTTGGGAGGCTGAGGCAAGAGGATTGCTCAAGCCTAAGAGTTTGAGGTTGCTATAAGCTATGATGCCATGGCACTTTACCCAGGGCAACAATGAGATTCTGTCTCAAAAAAAAATTTTTTTTTTAAATGCTGGTGGAAAAAGAAAACTTGGACTGTGATCAAAAACAACTTATTATGCTCTTAAGACATCAGAGTGCCATATACCCCCACTAGATTCCCTGCTCTTGTGACTTTGTCTATAGCTCAGAGGGAAGGGACAAGGACACCTCTGAGGGCTGTGGCATAGCTTGTGAAAATGGTCGTGGAGCCCAGGCACGCTTCATGATAACACAGTAACACTCTGCCTCAGGCTAGCTGTATGCTCGGTGGGGACAGTTAGATAGTTTTGATGAAGGTGTTATTCTCTTATGTATAGTTTCCATAAACCTAGTGAGACTCTTGTAAGTCGTGAGAAGGAGCAGGTTAAGAGGCCAGCTCCAGAGCACATTTGGATCCTGATTATTTTTTAGCCACACATTCATGCCTAGAACTTCCTCAGATTTTGTCTCTGGCAAACATCCCATGAGTTGTGGAGGAGTGCTTTGCCCCCTTTAAGGCTAGAGGCCAGGCTCGGCGCCTGTGGCTCAAGTGGCTAAGGCGCCAGCCACGTACACCCAAGGTGGTGGGTTCAAATCCAGCCCGGGCCCGCCAAACGACGACAGCTGCAACCAAAAAATAGCTGGGCATTGTGGCCGGTGCCTGTGGTCCCAGCTACTTGGAAGGCAGAGGCAGAAGACTCGCTTGAGCCCAGGAGTTGGAGGTTGCTGTGAGCTGAGATGCCACAGCACTCTACCCAGGGGGACAGCTTGAGGCTCCTGTCTCAAAAAAAAAAAAGGCTAGAGGCCAGTGGCATGTTCGACAGCGTGGTGTCCCTTCACATCTTCTTTGAGTAAATGTCTATACATGGCGGGTGTAAAGGTGTAAAGGTTGTTGAGCAGAACGCTGGAGTTGGGCAGGTAATTAGGAAAGTAGTGAATAGTGTTTCTATGGAAAATTTTGTACTCAAAGATGGCTACAGAAATGAGATGTGTTGTGAAATGATATTAGAAAATCCAAATGTCTCTCCCTAACCTCGTGTCTCACACCAGATAGCAGGCCCAGTTTACAGACTTGCTGGGGACCCAAAGGAGGAAAGGTCATCTAATGTAATGGATGACAGAATTAGGATTCCATGAGGTTTTGACAATCTGGGAGTTGGGCTCAAGGTAACAAAATTAAATTTAATGGAATAAGGTTTAAGCTCTAATGAAAGAGTCACAACAAAGAGTTCTCCTGTTACAAAATTAGAGGCCTAGAAATCTGAGTTAACTGCAGGTGATTATATCTGAGTCAACAGTGTGACATGACTGCTAATGTGGTCTCAGGCTTCATCAATAGAAAAACGGTGTCCAAAAAGCACAAAGTCACTGTATTCCCATCAGAAGACAGTGGACAAAGGGAAGGTGACAGGATGAGGAAGAATCTGGGAGCCAGGTAACTTGAGGAATACCCGGAGCGACTGGAGATGTGTAACTTCAAGGGAGGACATGGGGAGGGGCTCCTCAGAATAACGCAGGAATGGTCTTCCCCCTGTAGAATTCTGAAGGGCACACCTCGGACTGGTGGCTAAAGTTAAAGTGGGGTGAATTTGGTTGCATGTTTGGAAGAATTTTACAATCATTAGTGCTGATTGAAGATGAATTGCATTGCTTTGCACATCAGTACTCTTGGTCATATTAAAGCAGGTCTTCTGGATGAAAATCATGGAAAATCCCTAGATTTCCTGCTGTTAAATTTGAGCTGGGGGACTCCTTCCCCTTAACACCTTTCTCTGTCTTGACTGCTATTGCTCTTAAGGAAGTGGAAGGAACAATGGAACAATGCTTGCAAAACAATGTGTTCTTAGGAACTAAAACTATTTGCTCATGTTGTGTAAAGGAGAAATGAAGAAGTTGAGCCGGGATCCTCTAGGAAGAGATGAACCCTTCAGCCTGGCCTTAGAAAAATCTGAGGAGTGGACTGGCAGGAGTCAGGGCCAGGATGGACCTGGTAGGCAGATGGCCTGGTGAAAGAACCCTATTGGGGCCATCTGCATGTCTGTCAAGAGCTTTCTTTCTTTCTTTTTTTTTTGAGACAGAGCCTCAAGCTGTCCCCCTGGTTAGAGTGCTGTGCCATCATAGCTCATAGCAACCTCCAA